TCACTCTACCTTTTCATTTTTCTGTTGACAGACCATTGATTCTGCGTGCTCCTCTTAGAAAAATATCTGCAGCTATTTCTAATACATAACACAACATGACTGATCCAGCTCATTTCATGAGATGTGACTGCTGTGTCAGGTAGGTATAAAATTATCTGTGAGGATGCTCCTTGTAATAACAGCCTATTGCCCAACTTGTGCCACTCAGTACTTTTTCATTTCTGACTTGTCTTGAGCATAAGTGGAGCTCGCAGTCACCTGGATTGCCACTCATACAGAGAGCTGTTACGTGGGCATACCTGTATTAAAAAGTTCCCCCAAAAGTTTTTACATTTAAAGTCAAATTCTAAAAAGGCAGCAACAGCCCATATTGTGTTTGCTGTCACTTTCTGAAAATCCCATTCCTGGTGTGTGCTGTGAACAGGTCGTGTTGGTGCTGATTCAGGCTCAGTCTGAATCAGAAGTTTGTCAAGAGAAATTTCTGAGACAGAACCTGAAATGTCAAAAGGACAGTACTGAACTGGGAGGAGTCGCCCTTCTCTGGAATCACGCAGTGGGAGAGCAGAAAGCAAATCTCATTTTTCCTCATTTCAGACCCTCAGTGAGGGTTTTGTTTCGCATTTTTGTTGTTTTTTTTAACCTCAGTGTGTGTCACGGGCTGGCGAAGGCTGAATGTGTCCCTCTGTGGAGACAGTCGCTGCTGGAAACAGGCTGTCACCAGCAGAGTGTGTGACCAAAACAATACAGTTTTCTTTCTTTCCCATTTTTCTCCTTTCAGAACAACTCCTAGATGTTCTGTATACTGGCAGGCAGGAGGAAAAGACAGATGGTGTGACAGTGGGAGAACAGTCTATTTTAGCACTAATAAAAATGGGTCCGGAGATTCATATATGGCAAAAAATTATAAACTGGGCATAGCAGAGATAAAGCAAGAGAAGCAGTGACCTTTCAGAGTTAGAGCTGCACAGGGTTTGTTTTTTTTCTTTTGCATTTGAAATGTAGAGTTTTCAGTTCTCCTACTGCAAAATATCTATTAAAATGATGCTAGTCCTGGTATACAGTTTAACTCCTATTTCAAATATTATTGATAAAAATATAGTTTGGTCACAGAATGTAAAATATTCTGCTGTTCAAAAAGGTTTATTCCCCACCTGTGTCAGTCCTAAAACTGCTTGCTCTATGCATTTCGTGTGTATCAAAAACAGGAATAAAAATGGACGTTGCCCCAATTCTGTGAACTTTGATGAGTTCCTGACAGTTCTCCTGTCTTTTGCAGTTCTGAGGAGTCAATAACAGCTGGGAAGGAGAGTGTCCATTGCAACTCCTGAGGGAATTCTCCCTGTGTAGCAACCTGCTGGATTTGAGAGTTTCCCCCTTTAGCATTAGTGCTATAGGTTTCACTGTGAGGGGATGAGGAAGACTCTTGCATGGGCTCTTGTGGAAGGAAAATAATGGGATTTCTTGTTCAGTCAGTCATAAAGTCTCACCTCCTTTGTACTGAGGTTCCTGTAGCCCTGGGGATTTTATATCAGTCTGCAGCGTTGGTAGCTGTTAAAATGAAGTTATGCTTCCTCTTGAGAGACCTCTTACAGGTCAGCATAGCTAGGCCTGTCTTAACTGTTTTCTTTGAAGGAATTCACTTTAAACTTTGCTGAAATTAGCATATGTGCCAGGAGGGAAGGGGATACATGGGCAAGAGTAGATAGATTGCAAGGAAGTTACCACTTCTGTTGCCCAACGCCAGAAGTATCTGTCTTCTCATTGGTAGAAAAGAAAAATATTTCCTCTCTCTTTAAATATAAACACAGATAATTCCCTGTAGCTATCACTTGACATCTCACAGATTTGACATCTGCAAACTGATTTAATTAATATTTGAACTACCTTTCACAAGTGTATGGCACTTCTAACATGCAGAAGTGCCAAGCCTTTTAGTTGATAAAATACATTTTTTCCAGAGTTTGTAAAGATAAAATCATCTAATTAAGTCACCTTTTCTGTTTGCTTGTGATTTAGTTCTCAAGCTAACACCTACGAATGTCTGAGAAAAGCCCCTCACTTTCACTTTTCTCCTCAGTGTCATTACTTGAAAAGAAATGTCTGACTTTTATGGACAGCCCTCTCAGGGTCAGCAGACTGTGAGGTGCTGAGAGAATCAGTGTGGCTATTCCTGGGAGGATGCTCTCTGCCTGCTGTGATCCTGCAGCCAACATTTGAGTAGTTTGGTGCAGGGCTCTATTAACTGAGTTGTGAGAACAGCTGTGTGTTCTATACCACTGCTCCCAAACTGCCCTCAAGGATGGAAGAGTGGGATAAAAGAAACAGTGTGGAAGGAAGGAAGTAACAGAAGCCCAATTCAACTCTCATGGAAGTCTACAGGAATTTTTCCGACGATTTCATGGGAACTGAATTAAGTTGTTGGTGAGAAGCCATGTTCACAAACTCCAGACCTCCTCTTCTATTCTACATCTGCACTGGGTCTGTTGAATTTATTAGGAATAAAAATATAGTTTACAACATGTGGAAAATAGAGGGGGTGAAGGTTATGAGAAAACCCCAACTTATTGATGTGGGAGTGGAGACCTCTTGCAAAATGGACTGTTTCAAATGTACTAAAAAGTGTTCCCCCCAGCACCCAAAGCCTTCTTGCATTCATAGTCCCTGACTTCATCAGTTTCACAGCATTACTTTTCAATCAGCAAACATCATAAACACAGGAAGGCAGATTTATGGCTGTTTATTAGCCAGCACCATTACTGTATTTACTGTAGTGTGAAAAAGGAAATCAGGGAAAAGTGCTATAAATCTCAGTGGCTGCAACCCAGATGCATTTATTTACTTACTGGATACTTCCCTAGTAGCTTAGCAGATGCCTGCTAGTTTACACTTATATTTTGAGCATATCAGCAGAATGCTCTAGAGGGATGGGTGTTAAAATCCTGCTGGGGTCTGTTGTGGGCACTGCTAGGAAGGAGCTACTGAAATGTGTTCAGTTTAAGCAGCTAAAATAGTTATTGAAGAAACACCAAGGTGTTAACCAATCACTGTGTTTAAAGGGAGTATATTTATAAATCTGGAAGTATGTAAATACACCATCTTGCAATAACAACAGATAAACATCTTGCTATTCAAATAATAGGAATAAAAGCAAACTCCTGACTTATTAACATGAAGATATTCTCTGTTCAAAGAGGAATAAAAATTCTTAAATATTCTCTAAAGTTATGGAGCTGTAATATCCCACCTGTGCTATGTAGGGGGCTGGTATCAGCTGGGGAGTTGTGTTTCCTGCAGGCCAGACCCAAAGGTTGTACTTTACCATTGGAGATATAATTGTAGTTTATTCCAAGACAGTAAGTCATCTTCTCCTGGATGACCTATTTCCATCTGCATTGAAAAAAAAAAAAAAGTTATTTTGGACATGGTTGTTTTCTAATGTACAGAAATGCAAAAATACTTCCTTACAGAAGCATTCTGCATTGTTCTCAGTAAACATGTCTTCTTTAAAGTAAAGAACATGACTTCAGCAAATGTGGCATTGTCTAGGCCTGTTCTTTACACCTTCTTTATCTAGAGAAATCTAATTAATGATTGGAAGTTAAATTGAATGTGTTTAGGCTTCAAGAGTCTGAAAGTTCTAATTAATTTATCAACTTTCCAATAAAAGCACAACTTCTTTTATTCAGTTCAGATTTATGGTCAGATACAAAAGCTGTATCTAGATGTGTGGTTGAAGTCCAAATGTATTTTTCCTAAAGGAAAATCATGAATCCATCCAAACAAATTAAAATATCTTCACTGACACTCAGTGAATCAGGAATTATGTTCACCCCAAAACCTAAAAGGTTTTAATTTTTACTATTTTTTCCTACTTAGTATTGGCTCTTATTGTTAATGCTGTTTTTAAAATGAACAGTAAAATGCAAAGAGTATAAATTATAGATGAACAGTTTCAATGAGGCTGTTGATTGCAATGACTGAAATCTAATTAAGCAGTTTAAGATCTAAGTGATATTATTATTAAAGAATTATGTTAACAGAGCATTTTATCAGCCTCATAATTTGTTTTATGTGAATTATACTTAGGAGATAATGTGATTCCAAGTGACAAAAAGCTCAGTTCTGTTTCTTTCCTCTTTTTCAGAGAAAACTAATATGTTATATTTAAATTAAAATAAATTGACAGAGAGGTCTCCTGGAAACAAAAGCACTATTTTAGCATCTTAACTTTAACTGACTTCATATAAATACTAATACTGACTGCAGGGTTTGAGATGACATTGTGAAGTACTTTTAAAACAGGAATGGAAATGTCTGCAGATAAATATATGCAAATACATGTATATTTTTATACAGACATGCTAATTTGTTATGATGACAGACTTATTAGCAGTAGCGAGCAAAGTGGTTGTGCCACACTACCTTTTTGACTGTGAAATCTGTAAATATCCACTTTTTAATCTAAAACAATTCAGTGCATTTTCTAAGTCAATGGGAATCCATTGGGACGACATTTATTATTTCATTTACCAGTACAGTTCATACAAATTTATGAGCACATTGGATTGCTTCCTGTGTGATACAAATAAGTAGCAATCATGGGGACAGCGTGCTAGATAAATATATCCCTTATTTTTGGAAATCAGGTCTGTGCTTTGTGACTCTGAGAGTCAGCCTTGGTCTGATTGTAATTAATGTTTGTGCTTTTCTCACTCTCTGAATTCTATCAGTCCCATCTCTGTCAGGTCCCAGCAGAGCATCTCTTACAGAGTCAAGAGACAATTCAGCATGTCTGGGCTAATCACACATTACACTTTCTTGTTGCTTGTACACAGGTGTTATCTAGCAGAGGTGTCCCAAATTTCACTGTAAATTTATTTCTGTGAGAATCCTTTCTACACCTCATTGCCAGCTCCCCCTTGCCTTGGATGCTGAAGTGCTCCTTTAAAGTTTAACCCTGTTTGTGTCCACAGAATGTGTCTTGTCCCACCTGCCACAGACAGCTCAGAGCATCTTGGTCAGCCCACAAAGAGAACAAGCAATTGGAGTAACTGAAAAAGACAAAATAGGAATAATTTTAGATACAACCGGACACCAAAAATTAGCAAAATACTATATTTTTTTGTTGGATTGCTTTGATTTTTACTCTGTAGCTCTAAGTTTGTTCCTTGGTTACCATGAAAGGAAACCAGGCAGGATTTCAGTGTTAAAATTTCAGTGTCATATAACTGTGGGTTTGTTTGAAACCAACTGTTATATTTCAGTGCACAGCCTGACGAGCACCCTGGGGAAATGGGCACAATTCCAGGGAGACAATCCTGTTCCCAGGTTAAATGTATTGTGCTGTGGTTGCTGCTGCCTTGACCCTATTTTGGATGAAAGGACCATGTCACAGCATTGCCATTTCACTGCCTCTCTCCCATAGACATGCCAGGGATTGTTGAATCAGCTCCTGGAATACTCTTGATAAAAACAGCTCCGATTCTGCTGCTGCCTGTGCCCTCCCAGTTTTTGGACATCCAGTCATTTTGATTTAATTGAAATATTGTTTCAAGGAGTTACTTGTAATAGATGGTCTGTGGCACATATTTATTTTTAAGCTTTCAAACCAAACAGGGCAGGAGATGAGGGAACAGATAATAGAGAATGATATGGGCTTGAACAGAGAAGGACTGAGGGTGACAAACACTGCAGAGGAAAGAGAAAGCCATGAAACAAAAGGAGACAAAGCAAGCATGGCTGGATGATTCATTCTTTGCTGGGCTTTTGCTGTGTGTGTGGCAGGACTCACAGCAATAACCAAACCTTTATTCCTAACTCTGCCCCCTGAAATTTGTTGTGCCTTTTCTCATATGGCTCATTCTGTATCATTCCTTGAAGACAATCTCTAATGAGCCAAAATGTGCAGTATTGTTCTGAACCCATTCTTGGTTTTCTTTTCATGTCTGGAAGGATGGAAAATTAATTTTGCTCTTGGTCTGGTTCAAAATCTTCCTCCCACACTGTGGAGCCTGGATGTGGTGTTGGAAGATAGTATGTTCTGGCTACAAGCATCAAAGTGAGATCCAAAGGGCAAGCAGCTTTAAATATTTAACTACTAATAATCTGGTTCAGAAAACTGACTGGGTGTTTATGGATGACAGCATTGATACTTTTTGCTATTGATCTAACAGATGCTGTTAATTCTGTATTTTTAGAATATAAAAATATGCAAAAATCATTCTTGATAGATAAAAAGAAATAACTCAGCCAAGTTCTTTTAAATGTTGATGTGTCAGCAGCCTTGCTATCCGTCATTAGCATTTTTTCTTTATATCTTAAATTCGATCAATACTTTTCTGAGATTATGATCAAGTGGCATAAAACATTTTACAAATTCTGTTTGCATGTGATAGATTTTGTGTTCGGTGATGGCTCTGATCTAATAGGGGATCCAGCAGCATTAGTAATTACTGACAGACTATGGCTTAGTCTGTCACCTTTAAATTAAAGGTGAATGGCTACTTCTGGTATTTCAAGCTTTAAGCAGAATGCTAAACATGGTTTTAAAGAGATTTAATTTTCATTGGTCCAAACTGAGTTCTTCCCAGAAATCCAGCAACCACTGAGGTCCCAACTCAACCTTTTCATTGGGAACCTAAGAATCCCATAAGACTTTTCAGGCTTACTGCTTCCAAAACACCTTGAGATTCTTAAGCTCAGGTACAATGGAAGAAGAATTGTTTTGTTAGTGTGTGAAATGACATGTTGATAGATAGGTACCTCCTGAGTGGTGGTTTCAAATATTAAATGATGATTATCCAGAGCTCCAAGGCACTGATTCTTTGAAAGGGCTTTCAATTTTGTGGGAGTAGAATGACAGGGGCTGATTTCAGCTGATTAATACTGAGCTACTAATCTGTACATTCTTTGTTCTTGACAAATTATATAAATTAAGTTCTGGGGAAGAAGGGACCATCCTTAAATCTGAGAGCAATAGAGAGGCTGGTTGAGAGGAACTTGCACTAAGTGCTCCCTGCCTTTCCTTCCTTGAGCTTCTCCCAGTTTCAGAGACCCAATCCACCACTCTTCAGCACCCTGTGGGAGAGAACTGTTGTGAATGCACTGTATATGGAAATTTAGGGAGAAATCCATGTCAGAAAAAGCACAGGATGTAATTAGACACAGTAAGCAGTGTGTAAGAAGGAACCAGAATTACCTTTGTCTGTTGCTTATACAACAGCATATGATGAACCCACTCATTAAAAAAGGAAGAATAATGAAATGTTTATACTTGCAGAGTCCTAGGGAAATACTGGACCTCTTTCTGTACCTCTTACTTCATGTAATGTTAAATTGCAGGTCATGGGGAGAGTAGTAATTTGTACAAGAGAAAGAACAAGCCCCAGTATGACTGTAGTACAGCTTGAACTTTAACTTTTGTTTTTGCAGAAGTATCAGTCAGCTGCACAGTCCCTCTCCATTTTTCTCCCCTCTAAAGGTCAGATACCACTTCTTCATTATGTTCTCTGTCTTTTATGCAAGCAGCTTCTGCTGGAAAATTTTCATGTGTCACTCATACATCTGTAGGTTGAAACATCTCTCCAAGGCATCCATCACTCACACACAGCTGTCACCTGGTCATAAAGGTGACCTATTTCGTATTAAAAATCCTTTTCCTTTCATTGTCACCACCAGGATATGCTCTATCTTTTCCCTTTCTTTGTCAGAAGTTTAGACTTGGGGGTTAGATTGAAGATTCTTTGACGGTAAAAGGATGATTTTTTGATTCTTTGCATCACTGTATTCTGTCAATTTTATTTTAGTGCTGAGGAAAAAATCCCCAAACAAACATTGCTTTCTGACAGAGAACACTAGAACACTGTCATACTGAAGGATCACACTTCGTATGCAATCTTGGTAAAATTGTTTCCACAGTGCAAAGAGTCTCATATGAATCTCATAAATTACAAGGTATCATAGTATGTTATTGGAGTTCCTTGTGGGATTTCAATGCCTTGTGTCTTTTATATTACTTGGAATATGGTGTTGAATTGTGGAAAAATTAATTAAAAATTAATGTTAATATGAGATATCTTCTGCATGTTACAAAAGTCTGTGTTATGCAAAATAAAACAGTATGCATAACCTACCATGTTCCTGCCATCTCTTGGAATTGTTGAGCAAAACAGTCTGTGTTCACATTTTAGGAGGCACAATAATTCTCCAAAAGTTGCAATCTGTCTTGGAGAACCCACAGGTTTGTCACTGAATTTCATTATCAACCAAGGCATTTTTGTGTGGAAAAAAGGTGCCTTGAAGAGAACTATATGTAAGAAGAGGAGGATAATTGTCAGGATAAAGATGCTGCTTCTGTTATGCAGTCCTCAGCACTTGATCAGATTTATCTGTAGCATGTATTGGATTAGAATTTATTTTTATTTTGGAGTTTTAAATTCCTTTTTTCTCCTCTACTTTCCACTATGATTTCCTTTCAAAGTAGTAGAAAATAATATTTACAACTTATTCATTACATAAGTGATGCAGAAAATCCATTCATCATAATGTTTACTGTCATGGTTTTGTAGTTTGGTTTTTCAGTTTTCAGTTGTGTTTGGTTTTTCAGTTTTCAAACTGAAACCACCATATCTTCCTAATTTTGAGCTACCAAGTTTGTTTTTGCTTTATTTGAAATAGATAAACCATGAACAAGGTAATTTGGATACATCTTTGTCACGGTAAAATCTGTACCGATTTAATGTGGTTATCTGGGTTGTGATCAGTCTGGTCACTGGCATAATAAATACAGTGTTTTTTCCAAAGAGAAGTGGAAACTGAGGAAGTCCTGTTGCTAGAAGAGAAAAAATCATGGAGAGAAATTCCAGGCTTTGGGAAATACAGTTGCTATTGTTCACTTCTCCTCGTGTAACACTGATCCAGTGTAACACCATTACTCATCTCTGTGCTGCCTTTGGGATTTGTTCCACCACGTTCCACTGGACTTCCTGAGGGCTAATAGACCATTCACACTGACTTACCACACCAGATACCAGGCCTAAGCAGAAATATTTTTTTCAAGCTTGGCAGTCCTTTTGTTGGAAAATCTGAATTAGGAGCTTGTGAAGTAACCTTCAGTATTGTTATGAAGTATAAAAATTCCCATTACTCCCTGCCTCTCACAGCACTGAGACACTCACTGCCATGTCAGTCCTGAAGGAACACACTCTGTTCATGATTCCTTTTAGCTCTGACCTTGAGGGGATCTTATGAATCACTTTGTTTCATGAATTAATCTTTAAAATTATGAAACAGTGATGACTGTGGCATAAGGATAGTACATTTGAGAGGCAAACAAAGGAAGAAAAAGCCTGACAGTGCTGGAAGCAGCAAAGCAACCACAGAAGGGTTTTATCATTTATCAGAATGTGAATTCTAGCAGTGAGGTGCTACCCCTGTCTGAACACAAAATTCTGATGAGTCTGTGCTCTTGTCTAAGAGATAATTCATGTTTTCATGTGACAGTTTGGAGAAACAAACACAGCTCTGGCCTTATGGGGAAAGATATTCTTTGTGGTGTAAGCCAACAGCATTCTACAGGGAATGGGAGAGCAGGTTAATAGGACATAGGTATGAAAAGAAAAATTCATCCAATGGTAAGCGTAGCATGTCTTTGCCATTGTTAATTCATGTATCCTAGAATATTTTACACTCACTGTGAGCTACAGCCCTTTCTTCTAAAGCTAAAACTACTGTTAATGTTACTGAAAACTAAAATGTTACTGATCAATATGTGTTTTGTTTTTCCAGCTGAGAGCTGTATAAGTGTAATGATTGGCTGAAGTTTTTTTTTTTTTTTTTGAAGGCAGATTAAATCATGGTCATTCTTCTAACATATTCATTGAAGAATTAGCACAACTCTAACAAGTTATTATCAGTCCTATATGTTTTCTATTGATGCTTTTAGGCAAACACTGTTTAATCCTGCTTAGGCTGATTTGGATTTTAAGAAACCAAAGGAAGCAAGGAATAGTTTCTCACTTGTTCTCCTATTTGAGGTTGCTTGGACTGTGTCTCCCTGCATTGCAGGGGAACTGAGCCTCTGGCAGATTGTTTTGTTTCTGATTCTGGAGCATTATTGGAGATCCCTTTATTATCTTAGGCTCTGTACATCACTTCAAAGGCAGTAAATGTTAAGATGGTATGCAATCATCTGTCATATCTATCAGGTAGGCAATGGATTCACTCTACAAAGCCTTTTAAAATTCTGTAACAATCTTTGAGAACCTTATCTGAGTGCCTATGTGACATGAAGGCACCTTCAGACTCAAACTGGCTTATACCTTGAAATGCTTCACCTTACTCTGCCAAGCTCCCCCGAGGTGAGAAGCAGGTGAGCAGTCAGTATGTACCTCAGTTCTCTCTCTAGGTGCATCAGTACCAGGTTTAAACATAGCAAACATCACAGGCTGAAAGTTTATAGAGCTACTAATGCAGATACTTGTAAAATCTGTGGATTTAAGGAGCTGCTTCAGTGTGTGTTCAAATACAAACAGATGCCTACTATATTTTTGATGTGAAGAAGCTTAGGGATTGTTGCTCTTCTAATTGTTTCATTCACAATATTTATTTATACTTACATAGTAGTAACTGGATTCCCACATTTTAGCAGTGTTTGTAATGAAATGTGATTCGTACTATTCTGTATCATCCCAGAATGAGACTGGGATATCTGACTGACTAAATAATGTGTGTTAAGTGTTATTACATAAACTTGATTGTACTTACAGTTTGGGGTATTCAGCTTCTGTGAACAGCTAACATGGGATTCTCCAGCATGAGTTCCTTGTTTAAGGGAAGATTTATCTCAGTCCTTCATTATTAGGATTCAAACAAACAATTGATGTAATTTCATTCATTATCTTTTTCTCCTTCATTGTGTCTAATTCTTTCTTTTACTTACAGGAAAATCTCTGAAGTGTTCAGATTGAGAATTTGCTGCCTCAGCTGTCTTTGCCTTTCCTGGTGCTTTGTGCTCTGAATTGGGTCACACACAATTTTACAGTGATACAATTGTCCTTTCTTATGAAAACCGTTCCTCCTCAACTTGCTTCCTCTGCATCTTAAAAGTAAAGCAGGATTCCTTTATGTAGCTAGAATTTCAGGCTGGAACATTCATAGTACTTTTCCAGAAATCTGCAAAACTCTTGCTTCAAGTTCCCTTGTTCTGAAGAATTTGAGCAGAAGCTCAGTCTTCAAACCCCAGATATGACTCAGCCATTGTGTAATTGTTGTCTGTGGTAGTAGAGAAACTGATGTTAAATGATGCCCAACTTTAGTTAATGGACAAATACTGTTGCTGACTGAAGAGAAAAACTTCTCTTGTAGCAGCTAAAAGTTTGAAGTTTATTATAATGAGAGGGGGCAGCATATGAGATAAAACTAACAATTGATTATAATGCTGTGACAGGAAATATACCATTATATTTTCATGGCTATGGCCATCTAGTCCAATCCATACCTCTGGCAGTGGCCAGTCCCACATGAAAAGTTGCAAGGAAGCCCTACAGCAGACAATCCTGGAATTATTATATGCTCAAAAGGGCCCATCTGTCCTAACCTCAGGCATGTAGAGGCTACCTTATACCCTCAAGCAGGAAATTTTTGTCTGTGATTTTTCCCTCTGTAGAAAAATTTATGTACCAGCTTTTCAACTTGATCTCGCTCCCTTGGTTTTTCTAAGGTATTGAAGAGGTGTGAACACCGTATGTGATCTGCAGAGAGTGTCAGTGGGAAATGAGAAATGGTAAAAACTACTGAAAACAGCAGTGTGTGTTTGAAGTTTGACTCCTGTCTTACTTGCTTATTGCAAAGAGCAGACTGGAGAACCAGATGATACGTGTCAGAAAAACTAAGACCCTCATCACTTTACAACAAGAAATATTGCTGATTTCCCTCTGAATGTTTAAGAAACTATTGCAAAATATGTCCAACATTGGCTGCTTCTCTAAAAGTCTGGGCACTATCCAGGAGCAGACTCAGCAGTGTCAGCATGGTAAGAGACAGGATTATCTCCAGGAAATTTAGAAATGAGGAATCCTAGAAATCTCATGAGGTAAGCCAATCTCTTAGAAACTGAGATACACTAGCCAAATGAAGATGTTCAGACAAGTTGTATAAGCTTTTAGTCAGTTGCTGAATTCCAATTATTTATTTCCAAACTTTTGGAGAGTCACATAAACCTGTGCCTCTTGTTAGATGTGTGACCACTGTCATGCCTGTAAGACAAGAGGAAATTGCAGATACTCCACGGGAAAAAGACATAAACCAGGAAAGTCTGTAAAGCACGGCAGTGTTCATAAGGGCTTTTACTGACACAGATCATCAGCTGTCTTAGAACTGCTAGACTCAGCTGGCTTTCCAATTCTTCCTTGCAGCTGGTGGGAATTTGGACAGCTGAGGACCTAGACAGACACCGGGGCAGAAAAGCTGTGCAGCCTTTTAGCACTGAGGGTTTGCTTTGGAGTTCAGCACTGCCTGATGCTCGCAGCCTGTGGTGCTGAGGGATGTGAATGTCCACGTAACATCAAACACACGTGTTTGTGTGGCCTTTGGGTGGAAAGCATTCAACCCTCCTTTATTAGTTATGTCTTTAAAAAGGTACCTTTTGAGGCATATTTGAGCAAAGGACCATTTGATTCTCTTGCTCACCTTCAAAGAATTAACTTTAAATGAAGCCTCAGAAATGGAGAAAGCTCCCTACCTTATTGCTTATAGACAGGGACTGTTTTCTTGAGGGATCAGATGTCTAGAAGCTTTCACAATGTGCACGAAACAACTTATGACAGACTAGCAAGCTGCCCTGTGCCATCACGGCAGCTGGCAGTGAGTCATTGCTTCTGGCCCTGTAATGCAGACCTTGCGTGTCTGGGAAATAATGCCCAGCCAAGTGTGATTGCAGCCTATTATTAAGGCTTTATTTGTGAAATTGGTATTCCTGAGGTCAAACATCTTTCTCTCTATTTTCACATAGTGCTTTTCGACAGCTTTCAATAATGACTCCATTATACCCCTACTATGAAATACTTTATCTCTTATACAAATTGCTGGTTAATTACCGAGTTGTTTTTCACATCTGATGTGGCTTTTGAGTAAGACAGTATGACATGGAGCCAGAGGCAACACTGACTACAGAAAAAATGGTGTTTCAGCTTTAAACTTAAAGTGAGTACAAGAATTTCTGAAACAAATCAGTGCAGCCCAAGAGTTACTGTAGGTAGTGAAATGCATTGTCTGGGAAGTGGAAATTATTTAAAAACAGTGGTTTACCTGCAGGTCTCCAGGTGATGTGTTGTGTTGGCTTCCTTTAAATGTTTTAGATCCACCTTGAGTGGTAAGGAGGTAGAAAATTATTTTACTTGTAATGTCAACCAGTTCAGAATTGTTCTTTGGTTTATGTGCCTTATAATATCTTGATATAATGACTGGGAAATCTCAAATGTGGGAGCTGATGCTGTACAGGGGAGGATGAGGTGGTGTCCTTACTTTCACAGTGGATTCTTAAGGTCAAGGACAGAGACCTGGGTACAGAGATATTTTAAAGTATCTTGGGATTGCTGTCAGAGATAACTTATCTGTGCTGACTTTCTCCAGATGTTCTTATTTCTGTTGACTACAGAAGGAATCTGCACAGTGGGTGCTGACGTTTAGATGGGACTAGTTAAGAGAAATTCCCTTATTCCCTGTCAAAAGACCACAGTACCTTGTGTAGCTGTATTTCAGTCACAGAGAAAATCCAATAAGCCAGTAGGAATATTAATATGAATCAAATCTCTAGGATTAAATCCTGAATTTCTGTTGAGTCTGAATTCTTTCTCTTACAAGAATGTCTTTTTCCTTAAAGGAACTGGACAGTTGTAGCAAGGTACTGGCAAACATTTTAGAAGAGCATGCTATGATAGTAACCTTGTAAAGAAATATGACTTCCAGCATTCAGCAACATCACCTGCCAGAGAAAACTTGGCAGGTCTTCTAATTTGGTCAGTGAATGTTGCTAAGGGGAATATTAATTTGAGATATTCATACCTCAGCAGAAAGCACTCTTGGTCCCTCAGCTTTGCACACTGGAAGGGAAACATTCAAATAAATAAAATACACCCAGCATTTTGTATTTACAACAAAAGGAAAGGGATTCAGAAGGTCTCTTACAGTGCTGGTAATTCTCAGATTTATTTTTTCACATCTCACTGAATAGGTAGTAGTTTTTGTAAATGTACCAAGATTACTTTTACAGCACTGAAACTCTTGTCTTTATCTGTTTTATACTGTTAGGAATTATGAAAGAATCAAGTTCTCAGGATTTGCCAGGGAAGTTGGCACTGGTATCAATTCATATCTGTGAAGAAAGGTTTGCCATTTTGTTGTGGAAATTAATGAAGGAGGCAATATAAATTCTTACCTCTGCATAAAAAAAAAACAAACGCAAAGAATCCAACCAACCAATATCCAACAAACAAACAACAACAAAATAATTAAATCCAAATGTCTAAGTTATACCTCTTCTGCAGAGAGGGATGATTTGCCATAAACAGTGACCTTATTATGTCCAAAAACTCTTTGCCAATTGCAATTAAGTAAACTAAACCTCAAACAGAGGGAAAAACCTCCTAAAGCCTAAACCCTAGAACACATTGTTCGGGGAAAGGTATTTCCTTCCATACTAAATGTCTCAGCCACCACCATTCTCAAGGATTTTTAAAGTATTCAATATCCTTGCACCCAAAGAATTATCTTGCACTAATGTAACAATATGTAAGTTGTTGTTCCAGAAATCCTGGGCCCAACTCCAGATTCATCATGTGAACTTGAAAAAGCCAACATGCTTTGGAGTTACAAAAATAACATTGGATTATTTATTTATATAGCACCCATAAATTTACAGGTTGTTTTACACTCCAGAAATAAATTCTAGACCCTGGAAGGGTAGTGCCACAATGAATTCTGGCTGTTAGGTTTAAATTAAAAGAAGAAAAATGCTAATAAATTCTCAGAATTAAAAAATAAATTAAAAGATATCTCATTACCAATCTCTGATATCCTCTGTAATTTAAGTATTTCTGCAGTGAATTAATTTAATTTCTAGCCTAAATAAAAGGCAGAGAAGAATTGCCCCAATACCTCCTAAAAAAAGCATTAAACTCACACCCTGGAAGCAGAGAACTGAACCATCTGTTGCTGGTTGTTGAATCCATGTCAAACTCGGCAGCATGTGAGAGTGACGTACAGTGCAGCGTACAGAATAGGGCATTTATTTTTGGTAACATCTGGATGCCTTTTATCTGCCTCATAAACAAGGATTTTGGGGACAACAAACTCTTAATCATATGCACTTATCTCTACAAAACCACCATGGTGTTTGATCCTCTGGTTGCAGATTTCTCTTCAAAAGCCCCACTCTGATGAGGGAGAAAGTTCTAAAAGGATATAGAGGTTTTTTACTTCTTTGATTCTTATTTCTCTTGCTAATTTTCTTAACGAGTTTGGTAAGGTGGCCAACCCCACCCATCTTTGCCTTGGCTGACTAATCCACTTTGGGCTCAGCAGATTGTCCCTGATATCCATGATCAGTGTTCCTGCTGCCTGACATGGAACATGTTTACACTTTATGGTTAGAACTCAACTATAAGAAAAAAACAAAAAAAAGAAGCTGAGTTGGATGAAATTTGGAGACTTGCTACTGCAGCATACCATGGTCATATTTTATCTTCTTACTGTTGACACCTGCTAAAAATTTACTGTTCCAGAGGGACTGGTGGTAGTTCTGTGCTGACTTTATTGGTGTGACAGTGACAAAATTCCAGGGATTTCATTGCTGAAATGTGTAATAAGAGTTTCTCTTAGCTTTAAAATTGTACTTTGAGGTGGCTGAGGGTTGTGTGCTTTTGCTCTTTCTTTTCACTGTGGCATAATTACTGGTCATAGTCCATGTGAGAA